ACGGGACAAAAGGCTTAGCGTGAATTCGAGGAAATGGCAGGGCTTACCTATGACATCTTTTGTATAGAGGACATAGGCATTGAAAATTGCAATCTGGCTCATGTAGATTGCAATTTTCTTGTACCAGGTCCTAGTTTTTCGGTTCACCAGATAGGGCTGTATAAACTTGCTGTAGTCTACAATGCACTTCGGCTTTTCCAGATGCTCAGTGCTACCTCTCACAGACACTGGCACTGTACTTTCGTCGTGCATTGTAGACAGCATGTATACATCTTTCCTATCTCTGAAGCGAAGGGCAAGCAACTCATCCTGGCAGAGAGCTGAAGAGGAACCGCTACTGCTTCTGCCTCTTACCAGGGCTTGGGGGAACCCCTGTGATTCTTCCTCACTGTGCCACAGACTAGGGTTTCAAAGCAATATAATTTTTTTAATAATTCTATACTGGTATAATAATTGTAAACCCATAGCCTATATCCCTTATTTAACAAGGGAAGGATTAGATCCCAAACAATCTTGCCACTTGTACCCACAGAATCAGGGCATCCTGGTGGGTCAAGATGGCTATCCTTCCCCTGGTAAATGCGAAACGCCCATGTGTAACCAGTACAAGATTTGCATAATTTATAAAATTTAACGCCATATTGGGAACGCTTCGTTGGAATATATTGCTTAAATAGCAGTGAGGTCTCCCTTACTTTTCTGTCCATTTTATTATCGCTCCCATCATTAGGATTAATAAAGGTAAGGCTCCCTTCCCTTGTTTCACTATTCTTCCATCTAGGACCTTACGGTCTCACTTCCTTTTCCCTTTTTTTTTCAAATAAATAGCAGTCGACCTTTAAATTTCATAAGGGACCCATCAATTGAAATATCTTTATCGGGGACATAATTTTCAGAAAAATTGTCTGACAGGAGTTGGATAAAGGGCTGAATTTTTTAGAGCCTGTCAAACAGTGGGTCGTTTCTACGGGGGCACAGTGAGTTATCATTAAAATGAAGGAATCGCAGCAGTTGCAGGTAGCGATCCCTCTGCATAACCTCAGGGAAAAGAGGGGTAGCCAGGATGTGTTGCTTGCTCCAGTAGGACCAGATACTGGGCTTTTTAACTATACCCATCACTAGGGTTAAAGCCCAAAACTGCTTCATCTCTGCGACATCCGTGGGTCTCCACATATTCCTGCGACCATGATGGGACCCCGGATGTGCAGAGAGATACGGCATGGCAAACAAATTCGTTTGCTGAGCCATGAGCTCAACTATATCGTCCAACATAAAGAGCTCAAAAAAATGAATTGGCTTGCAGTCGTCCACTGTTACAGTGATGCCAGGTGTAACAGTGAACGGCGGTATTTCTGGGGCCATCATGTTTAGGGTCACCCAGTCTCCGTCTGGCATTGGGCTTGCTGAGCGTCTTCTTGTGAGTGGTGGTGGGGCCCCATCACTTGAGGTCTCACTCAGAGGCTCAATGTCAGAGGCAGTGATAGTGTCACTGTCTTGCAGAGTGTCACTATCACTGCCTGCCAGAATGGCATACGCCTCCTCGGCTGAGTAGCGACATGCCATTCTAGGGGGACATATATAATTAATTTATATACTAAGGGGGTAATTATTATCTACCTGCCTAATACCTACTACCTGCACTCAAAAAATAATATAAATGTACTGTCACAGTATAGGTGGCTGCAATCAGTACTGAAAGGGTTATTTTTATTTTTTGATCATGGCAGCGGGGAAAGGGATAAGGGAAATTTAGGTTGCTGCAACTGACACAAAGGGTCAAAAAATATTAGAAAATATTTTTGGATCCCCCCTCAAAAAATGTAATATAGTACAAAAGTACTAAATGCCTTAATCAGGCTGATGACAGAAATATGCTGTGATTAGCACTGAAAGGGTTAAATAAAATATATATTTTTTTTACTTTTAAAAAGTAATAAAACGTTCTTTCTTTCACAGGAGCTGCTAAACCAATGATCTCTCTGCCTCTCTCTCTCAGATCGAAGTGAGCTGATGAGAGGGGCAGAGACAATGTGTCAGCCGGTGATTTCTGATCATTGGCTGACACATACTAACAGTGATCACAGTGACTGGCTGTCACTGTGATCACCTTCTACAGATCACGGTAATTGGCCACAGGGGGAGTGCATGGGTGGTACAGGCATGCCCCCCACCGCGATCTGTAGGGAGATCATGGCTGCAGTTACATGTGTCAGCCAATAGGCTGACACATAGTAACACTGATCGCAGTGACAGGCAGACTGAGCAGATCGCAGTCACTAACCGCAGGAGAATGGTGCCGGCCATGTGTGTCAGACGATTTCAAATCGACTGACATATATGGTAAATACCGATCGCAGTGACAGCCGTGGTCACTGGGCACAGGGGGGCTGCCTGGGGGGCCAGGCATGCCCCCCGACCACGATCTGCAGCGGGGTAATGGCGCCGGCCATGTGGGTGTCAAGCACGACCAGGGCGTTCTATGCCGCCCTGCGGCATTTAGAGCCAGCCAATTAAGGACGGCATAGAACACCCTGCGGTCTTAAGGGGTTAAGGAAAATACACAAAAACAATCCAGAGGCATACTGCTAGTTTTTATGATTATTATTATTTTTCTCACAATGCCACACATCCCTAGTGTACTACAGAAACTAATTATATGAACAATTTCTTAAAACAATTATATAATAGTGTATTTACAACGTTTTCAGATCAACTCATTTTCCTCCCATTGTTGCAGATTATTATAAGCACCATAACAACTTCAGCTCAATGAGACATTTGGTGTAAAGATAATGCTCCTGCACTCTCACTGCTCAATTCTTGGCTCACTTTTCTTATGTAACCTAGTCCTACACAGCATCCCTTCAAAAGTCCTGCAAAGAGAGATCTAATGTTTGAACGTTCTTTATTGTATAGTCTGTTTAATTTAAAATGTCCTATCTTCTGCTCTGTTGATAGCCTACTCAAGCCTGCAGGAGCCCCTTGTTTAATTTACAGTGCAGGAGATAAAAACTTCTAAAGTAAGTTTAAGATTTGATTGTATATTAAACCCTTTTTCTCAAGCTGGCTCTGTCACTCTGTGAGATAAGGCCAGTGAGGTGTGGTTAGTGCTGCAAAAACATAAACAAAAAGGATTTAACTCCTAAATGGCAGTGAATTGAGCAGTGAGACTACACGGGCATGATCTAGACAACAAAACAGTTTCATTAAGTTAAAAAAATGTGGTGCCTGTTTTGCAGATGACGCTTGAAATTTAGCTCAGATGCATCCCATTTATCTCGATCATCTTTGATATGTTTCTACACTTTGATTAGAGTCCAACTTAGGTAAATTCAATTGACTGGACATGATTTGGAAAGACACACACCTGTCTATATAAGATTTCACAGCTGTAAATGCATAACAGATCAAAACTAGATATGATGACAAAGGAACTACCTGCAGAGCTCAAAGACAGGATTATGTTGAAGTACAGTTCCAGGGAAGGCTACAAAAAATATTGGTTGCATCAAAAATTCCCGAGAGCACCTTGACCTCCATGAATATTAAGTTCAATAAGTTTGGAACAACCAGAATTCTTTCAAGAGCTGGCTTACTGGCCAAATTGAGCAATAAGGAAGAAGGGCCTTGGTAAGAGAGGTGACCTGGAACCGGATGGGCATTCTGGGTGAACTCCAGAGATAATGTGTGTAAATGAGAAACTTGCAGAAGGGCAACCATCCCTGCAACACTTCACTGGCCTGGCCTTTATAGTCGACTGGCCAGATGGAACCCTTTCCTCACTGCAAGACACGAAAATTCACTTGGAGTTTGCAAAAAAATTGCACCTAAACCACTCTCAGACTGTAAATAAAACGAGATCTGGTCTGATGAAACAACGATTGAATGGTTTGGCCTCAATTCAGAGTGTTAGAGTCTGGAGGAAACCAGGTCCCACTCATCAACTCTACAATACCATCCCAAAGGAAGGTGGCAACATCATGTATGGGGGTGATTTTCAGCTGCGGGGACTGTTAGACTTGTCAGGATTGAGGGAGAGCTGTATGCAGCAAAATACAGAGATATCCTTAATGAAAACCTGGTCCAGAGCACTTAAGACCTCAGACTGGGCCAAAGGTTTATAAACAACAGACAATGACCTAAGAAGTACACAACCACGAGTGGCTTTGGAACAACCCTGTGAGTGGACAACTCTGTGAATGCCAGTCAGAGCCCAGACTTCAACCCAATTGAACATCTGTGGAGAGACTTAACTGGCAGAAACTACCCAAATCCCTGGGTGCAAACCTTGTTGCATCACACCCAAAAAAACTATGTTTGCCTTTTTACTGTCCAATTATGCTTGTTACTATAATAGCCCAGAAAGTGTGCATTTTAGTGCTCTGCATTGGAGTTGCTATATATATTTATATAGTAGTAGGGGATAGGAACTGTAGAGAGGCTGTGTTAGGGGAATAATGGCAGTGATGTGGGAAAGGGGGAAGTAATGTGAGGGGTAGTGCTGTGACGGGAGGATAGGATCTGTGATAAGAGGGATAGGGGCTCTGATGGAGGTTGGGGCAGGGGTCAAGTCCTGGGGAATAAAGTGTGGGAACTCACCCAAGATTCCTTCCGCCCCCCCAAATAATATACACTTGTGTGTATATATATATATATATATATATATACACACACGAGTGCACACACACACTGACAGGTGCACACACATAACATACAATCACACACACTCACAGACACACACACTCACATGCATTCACAGACACAAACACGCACTCACAGACACATACACTCAGACACTCACTCAAAGGCACTGACACAGACACACACATACTAAGACACACACACTCACAGACACACACACACTCACAAATTATTATTTTTAAATTAAAAAATGTCCACCTAGCCTCCCTACCTGGAGAGCTGGTGTGGACCTGTGTCAGGGTACCTTTGGTGTCTACCTCGGAGGAGGTTAGACACCTAGACGTCCATCCTCCCAGGGGGGCTGACTCACCCGATCTTTGCACTCCTCCCGGTCGTTTACACGCCGGCCGCGATAGCTCCGCCTCCTTTTATGACGCGGCGCTCAGTAGCCGACGTCATGACGGCAATCACGTTCCGACCCGTCAATCACGGCAACCAAGTGCCGAACAACCAATCAGGACCCGTTGGGGGCGGAGCCAACAGTTAAAGAGCCAAGGTATAAAAAAGGGTTCTGTGGAATGATTCATTGCCCTGTCGTGGTTCTAGCTAGTCTGGTCACTCAGTGCAATTACCTCTATTGTCTTTTGGTTCCTGACTCGGCTTGTATTTTGACCCTGCTTTCCTCTCTTGTCCTTTTGACTCGGCTTGTCTCTCGCTTACCTGATCTCTCGTTCCCTCGACCTCGGCTTGTCTCTGACTATTCTTTTGCTTTCTCCTTACGTTAGTCCGGCCATTCTAAGGTCCGGTATACGTACCTATCCCCTGTTTGTATTCTGCGTGTTGGATCCCTGTCACGATCCTGACATTACGACAGGGCCAATGGATCCTGCAGGTACAAACTCTCAGGTCGGTTCTCCTGACTCTAGATTTGAGGCCATGGATCATAGAATGGACCAGATGGCTCTAGCTCTGCAAGCATTGCTATCTCGTCCTAGTAGTCACTCAGAGGAGATGCGTACCCCATCTATCTCTCCTATAAGTACAGGCCTAGAGGTAGCCACAGTGGCTACTTCTTCCCGTGTTACGTCCCCGTCACGCTATGGCGGCGCTCCTGACACTTGTCGAGGTTTTTTAAACCAGATTGGTATTCATTTTGAATTACAACCCCACGCCTACCCTACTGACAGGGCAAAGGTTGGATTTATAATTACCTTGCTCATTGACAAGGCACTTAGATGGGCTAACCCCCTGTGGGAAAATGATAACCCGTTAGTTTATAATTATAATGCTTTTGTCGCTGCGTTTAGGAGAGCTTTTGACCCTCCAGGAAGAAAGGCCAATGCAGCTAGACTACTGTTACGTCTTAGACAGTATAACCGAACCCTAGTGGATTATGCCTTGGAGTTCAGATCCTTGGCAGCAGAGGTCAAGTGGGATGAACAGGCTTATATGGACGTATTTATGAACGGGTTATCTGATGAGATTTTAGATGAAGTGGCCACAAGAGATCTTCCTGAAAATTTGGAGGATCTGATTTCATTTATTTCCCGAATAGATGAACGTATGAGACAGAGGCAGAATATTCGGGATAGAACCCGCAGATCCTCCATAAGACTAGCTCCCTCATTTCAGACTTCTGATTCTACTACTTTAGCTCTTCCAGAACCTATGCAAATAGGTCATACTCGACTCTCAGAGGAGGAAAGACAGTACAGGAGAAGGGAGGGTCTTTGTATGTATTGCGGAATTAGAGGTCACCTACGCCTAAATTGCCCTAACCGGCCGGGAAACGCTCGCACCTAGGTTTCTCAAGAGGACAGGCCTTGGGTGTTTCTATCTTGTCCTCTATTTATGATTATAAAGATCATAGGCTTCTGATACCTGTTTCTTTAGCTTGGGAAAAGGGAGTACTTAATGCTATGGCTTTGATAGATTCCGGAGCAGCTGAAAGCTTTATTGACCAAGCCTTTGTCACTAACCATTCTATCCCATCTCAGCTAAGGGATACACCCTTGGCCGTTGAGGCCATAGATGGTAGACCATTATCTGAACCTGTGATTTTTCGTGAAACCATACCAATTAAGTTAACCACTGGTATCCTTCACGAGGAAAGAATATCCCTCATGCTGATCTCATCTCCTTCAGTTCCTATAGTCTTGGGGTATCCCTGGCTTAAGAAGCATAACCCTATCATTGACTGGGAACTGGGTGAGATAGTCTCCTGGGGTCAGGGTTGCCAGAAAGGATGTGTGCAGAAAGTCTCACCAATTTGCAGGGTTGACGCCCCGGTTAACTCTTCCCAACCTACAGATTTACAGATACCATCACAGTACCAGGATTTAAAGGCAGTCTTTGACAAAAAGAGGGCTGATACTTTACCTCCACATAGGTCTTTCGACTGTAAAATTAGACTCCTACCTGGTACTATGCCTCCGAGGGGTACGGTATATCCTTTATCCACTAAGGAAAACTTAGTCCTAGAGGAGTACATACGTGAAAACCTAGACAAAGGTTTTATTAGGAGATCATCTTCTCCGGCCGGGGCCGGTTTCTTTTTTGTAGATAAAAAAGACGGCACTCTACGGCCTTGCATTGATTATCGGGGCTTGAATAAGATAACTGTTAGAAATGCTTATCCTATTCCTTTAATTACTGAGCTCTTTGATCGACTGAAAGGCTCCAAGATTTTTACCAAGTTAGATTTGAGGGGAGCTTATAACTTGGTGAGAATTCAGCAGGGAGACGAATGGAAAACAGCTTTCAATACCCGTTATGGCCATTATGAATACACGGTAATGCCCTTCGGGCTTTGCAATGCACCTGCAGTATTCCAGGACCTTATTAATGAGGTTCTTAGGGAATTTCAGCATGAATGCGTTATAGTATATTTGGATGATATACTAATACACTCTAGAGAGATTGAGACTCACCACAGACAAGTCAGAAGGGTACTGCGCAAACTGTTACAACATGGATTGTACTGCAAATTGGAAAAGTGTAGCTTCGACCAATCTCAGATAAACTTTCTTGGCTACGTTATTTCTGGAGACGGATTTAGGATGGACCCCATTAAACTCCAATCGATTTTAGATTGGCCATTGCCCAGGGGACTCAAGGCCATTCAGAGATTTATCGGATTTTCCAATTATTATAGGCGCTTCATTAAAGGTTACTCTTCTATTATTGCTCCTATTACTAATATGACTAGACAGGGGCTGATACCAAGACTTGGTCCACAGAGGCTCTCTCTGCTTTCAAAACTCTCAAGGAACATTTTGCCTCAGCACCGATATTAGTTCATCCTGACACATCTTTGCCTTTTTTACTCGAGGTTGACGCCTCGGAGACAGGTATAGGCGCTATCTTGTCCCAAAGGCTAGGTTTGGATAAACCGTTACATCCTTGTGGTTTTTTTTCCAAGAAATTATCTGGGCCTGAAAGTAGATATGACATTGGTGATAGGGAACTGTTAGCGGTCATTATGGCTTTAAAGGAATGGAGACATTTGTTGGAGGGGACATTATACCCGGTTACTATTTTGACTGATCACAAGAATTTGTCCTACATAGGGGAGGCCAAGCGCTTGTCCGCCAGGCAAGCTCGTTGGTCCTTGTTTCTGACACATTTCAATTACGTGCTCACTTATAGACCTGGTTCTAAGAACTCTAAGGCAGATGCATTGTCCCGTCAACATGAACCTTCTACGGTGTCTGAAGTAGCTTTGTCTTCTATCGTTCCCAAGTGTAATATTATTGCCAACACATGTGTCAGGATACACTCGCCGTTGCTTGCTGAGATCAAGAAAGTACAACATCTAGCTCCCAAACCTGTTCCTGGGGATCGATACTTCGTTCCTCCTGAGCTCCAAGTGGAACTGCTGCATTGCTTTCATGACAGTAAAATTGCTGGGCACCCCGGCATACGCAAAACGTGTTCCCTGATTTCTAAAGATTTCTGGTGGCCTTCCCTTCGTAAGGATATAAGGGATTTCGTCAGGGCATGTGCTGTCTGTATGAAGACTAAGCAACCTCACGCGCTCCCTTGTGGACTTTTGCATCCCTTAGAAATTCCCGAGAGACCATGGTCGTGTTTGGCTATGGATTTCATTGTCGATTTGCCTGTTTCTAAAAAACATACTGTTATTCTCACGGTGATTGACAGGTTTACTAAAATGGCTCATTTCGTGCCCTTGCCTAAACTGCCCTCGTCTCCCGAATTAGCTGAGATATTCGCGAGGGAGATTTTTCGTCTACATGGTATTCCCTCTGAAATTGTTTCTGATAGAGGTTCCCAATTTGTTTCCCGCTTTTGGAAGTCTTTCTGTTCTCACTTAGGCATCAAGTTGAACTTCTCCTCTGCCTATCATCCCCAGTCCAACGGAGCTGCCGAACGCACCAACAAAAAGATTGAACAATATTTGCGTTGTTTTGTTTCTGAACACCAGGACGATTGGGTTGGTCTGATTCCTTGGGCAGAGTTTGCACACAACAATCTCGTTTGTGATTCTACTCGTTCTAGCCCCTTTTTCTTGAATTATGGCTTTCATCCTTCCATTCTTCCGTCGGTTTCCCCTTCCCAAGGGGTTCCGTCGGTTGATGTTCATGTCGCCAATCTGAGAAAGTTGTGGGATCAGACTCGACGAATTCTTCTTCAGAATTCCATGGTGTTCAAACGACACGCTGACAAACGGAGACGGGTGGCTCCGGTTTTTGCCCCGGGTGATAGGGTGTGGTTGAGTACCAGAAACATCCGCTTGAAGGTTCCTTCCATGAAATTTGCCCCTCGTTACATAGGCCCTTACAAGGTTCTGTGTCGGATTAACCCGGTTGCATATCGTCTTGCCCTTCCGCCTGCCCTGCGCATCCCTAACTCTTTTCATGTTTCTTTATTGAAGCCTTTGGTTTGCAACAGATTTTCCTCCCCTGAGTCCTCCCCTCTCGCTGTCCAGGTTGAGGGTCAGGAGGAATATGAAATCAAATCCATTCTCGATTCTCGTATTTCTCGGGGGAAGTTGCAATATCTTGTTGACTGGAAGGGGTATGGGCCTGAAGAAAGGTCTTGGGTGGTCCATGAAAATGTGCATGCCCCTCGTCTCCTCCGGGCATTTCATGCTCGTTTTCCGTCCGCCCCGGTTCCTTCCGCCCGGTGGGCGTTTCTGAGAGGGGGGGTACTGTCAGGGTACCTTTGGTGTCTACCTCGGAGGAGGTTAGACACCTAGACGTCCATCCTCCCAGGGGGGCTGACTCACCCGATCCTTGCACTCCTCCCGGTCGTTTACACGCCGGCCGCGATAGCTCCGCCTCCTTTTATGACGCGGCGCTCAGTAGCCGACGTCATGACGGCAATCACGTTCCGACCCGTCAATCACGGCAACCAAGTGCCGAACAACCAATCAGGACCCGTTGGGGGCGGAGCCAACAGTTAAAGAGCCAAGGTATAAAAAAGGGTTCTGTGGAATGATTCATTGCCCTGTCGTGGTTCTAGCTAGTCTGGTCACTCAGTGCAATTACCTCTATTGTCTTTTGGTTCCTGACTCGGCTTGTATTTTGACCCTGCTTTCCTCTCTTGTCCTTTTGACTCGGCTTGTCTCTCGCTTACCTGATCTCTCGTTCCCTCGACCTCGGCTTGTCTCTGACTATTCTTTTGCTTTCTCCTTACGTTAGTCCGGCCATTCTAAGGTCCGGTATACGTACCTATCCCCTGTTTGTATTCTGCGTGTTGGATCCCTGTCACGATCCTGACAACCTGTCCCTAGGGTCCAGTGGGGCAGGCGCCTATCTCCCAGTCAGACGCAGCGAGGGAGCTGTGTCCACTCCCTCTCGCCGCGCGGGCAGTCTACTGATGCCGGGAGCCGGAATATGATGTCATTTTCTGGCTGCCGGCATCAGCAAACGGCGCACAGCGAGAGGGAGCAAAGAGGACACAGCTCCCTCATCGCGTCTGACCAAGATACAGGCACCCGCTGGGGGGGGGTCCATCAGGCCACCTCTTGGGCCCCCCATGACAGGGTGAACACGGGGGGCATTTGGGAGTAGCATTTTTTGTCGCCCCCCTTAGTGCCTGCAGGAACAGCGGGAACAGCGTTCTTGCTGTAAAAAAAGCGCAAGAAAGACGTTCCTGCAGGACTCGAGCCCTGGGTTGGGGCGATAATTGGGGATAGAAACTACTTAAGCTTGGGGGCAATGTTGAGGGGGGAATATGAGCAGTAATTTGGGGAAGAGGGGCATGCATTTAATAAACTGTAACACATACTCGCCAACAAATTTGACAGAAAAATATTGTCAGCACATTGATAAATCACCTCTGTGGTGCTCTTAGGAATTTTCCAGTTGTTAGAGTGCTGTGGGTTCCAAAAGTAAAAAAAAAAAACAAGCAACCAAGCAAAAAGATTTGTTTACTGGGGTATACTCATGCCAGACATCCTAACTTAACATGTATAGCATAAATGGCAAACATCTACCAAAAATACCACTTCACCAAAATGTGCAGCTAAACACAGTGGTTTTTTTTCCACAAAAGTACTGTCCTGGTTCTCTGATAATGGAACAGGAATGGTTTGCCCTCTTAACTGGTTCTTCCGGATTCTGCAGCCCTGCCGATACAGTCGCCATTGATTAGCTGAGACTATCAGATAAAAATCAACACAGAATTGACATAAGCCACCCCTGAAATCTTGTTCCATTGATACCTCAATGATGTGGCTGTTACACCTATGGCAGCCAAGAGGTTTAACTCGGTATGTGCAGTGTTTCATAGCAAAATGCTGCACATAAGGACTTCAGACACCATTACCACTTCAAAACACTGAAGTGGTCACGTTGTTTAAAGGAACCCTACAATAAATATTTTAATAAGCCAACATTGTTTTTAAAAGCTATATTTTTATTCCAATATGAATCCCTACTACATCTTTACATCTCTCTCTACACCGTCTTAAATCAGTGCATATTATCCTGTCACCTTTTGTACTGTGGGTAGATTGGCCACTATGAGCTTTTGGATGGCTCTCGGAATGAGTCCTGCCTTGTTGGTTCCCAGAAGAAAGAGGATAACAGTCTATGCTTATTCAAACTAGTTCTAATGTTCAGAAATCAAATATAAAAAATGGATCCCAATACGAGAAAGCAACTTTTTCAGCACCATAACCACTACAACTTATGCTCTCAGCCCTGCATTGTATAATTCCTATACTAGAAAGTGTAGAAGGCCTTATGAAAAGAATGAACTCAATGAAATATTGGTCTAGTAGATGCAAGCTAATGAGAATAAAACAATTCTGACTGTAGTAATAGAAATAAAAAGCATGTTAGTTGGAATTCAGTAACTATCACCAGTTCTTAAACCCCCATTACACCCCACCTATTTAATTCTATGCTTACAAAACATTAGTGTAAATAGGATCTGTCCTTTTGTTTGAGTGCTATAGATTCCAGACTTAACCCCCCCCCCAAAAAAAAAAAAATGAATGAAAGTCTGTTACTGGGGTATACACGTTAGACATTCTAAAGCAACATGCAAAGTATAAAAAAAAACTTAAAATCTACCTAAAATACCAAATTTCACCAAAAATGTGCAGCTAAACACTTGAACATAAGTGGAGAACAATCGAAGAAGTTCTTATATTCAGAAGCAGATATTAAAAATGGATTCCAATAAAATAAAAGAACACTCAAATAACCATAATCATTGCAGCTGACACTCTCTGCCAATTTGCTAGCTCACGATAGCTAAAGGAAGTTCCTGTTTAGGAGCTTATGACTCTCAACAGGAAGTAGAATAGGTGGAGGGCAGCACCTAAAATACCACACTTCACCAAAAATGTGTAGCTAAATTCACAGCTTTTTTTTTTTTAACATAAGTATGTGCAATATATTCAATAATCATTTTAATAAACCTACATCTTTTTTTGCCAAGCTACATATTTTTCCCAATAAAAGTCCCACATTATCCCTCCAATAAAAGTCCCACAAATCCCTCCAATCCTTCCAATAAAAGTCCCATTTTCATCTTCCTCTATTTAACACCCTCCTAAGTTAGTGCATATAGTGCTGTTTTCATCACCTTTTGTACTGTGGGTAGATTGGCCACTTTGAGGTTTTGGGTGGCTCTCAGAATGAGTCCTGCCCTGCTGGCTTCCTGAAGAAAGAGGAGAACAGTCTATAGTCAAAGTAGTTCTTGTGTTCAGAAGAAGATATTAAAAATCTATCCCAATAAAATAAAAGAACACTACAATAACCATAATCATTACAGCTGACACTCTCAGCCAATGTGCTAGCTCCCGGCAGCTAAAGGAAGTTCTTGTTTAGGAGTTTATCACTCTCAACAGGAAGTAGAAGAGGCGGTGAGCAGCACCCAGTAAACCCCAGATAAGAACTTGTCTGAAACTGTTTGACTACTTACAATGTGTGACGCCAAGGCACTCCTGGCACCATAAACACTATAGAATGCCACATTGCTTATTTATTTCTCCCTCTATGTAACAGATTTCTAAGTCAGTGCATATTATGCTGTTTTCATCACCTTTTTTACTGCCGGTAGATTGGCCACTTTGAGGTTTTGGGTGGCTCTCGGAATGAGTCCTGCTCTGCTGGCTTCCTGAAGAAAGAGGAGAACAGTCTATACACTCAACGTAGTTCTTATGTTCAAAAGCAGATATTAAAAATGGATCCCAATGAGAAAAAAGAACACTCCAATAACCATAATCATTGCATCCAACACTCTCTGCCAATATGCTAGCTCACGATAGCTAAAGGAAGTTCCTGTTTAGGAGCTTATAACTCTCAACAGGAAGTAGAATAGGTGGAGGGCAGCACCTAAAATACCACACTTCACCAAAAACGTGCAGCTAAATACACAGCTTTTTTTTTTAAACATAAGTATGTGCAATATATTCAATAATCATTTTAATAAACCTACATCTTTTTTTGCCAAGCTACATATTTTTCCCAATAAAAGTCCCACATTATCCCTCCAATAAAAGTCCCACAAATCCCTCCAATCCTTCCAATAAAAGTCCCATTTTCATCTCCCTCTATTTAACACCCTCCTAAGTTAGTGCATATAGTGCTGTTTTCATCACCTTTTGTACTGTGGGTAGATTGGCCACTTTGAGGTTTTGGGTGGCTCTCAGAATGAGTCCTGCCCTGCTGGCTTCAGCAGCAGCAAACCCCAGATAAGAACTTTTGTAAAACAGTTCTACTACTTACAATGCGGGGCACAAAGGCACTCCTGGAACCATAACCACTAAAGAATGCCACATTGCTTATTTATTTCTCCTTTTATGTAACAGCCTTCTAAATCAGTTCATATTATGTTGTTTTCATCACCTTTTTTACTGTGGGTAGATTGGCCACTTTGAGGTTTATGGTGGCTCTCGGAATGAGTCCTGCCCTGCTGGCTTCCTGAATAAAAAATAAAATTGAATACTAAAAATTATCCCAATAAGTTAAATAACATAAATTTAATTTTCCAGGAAAATTAATCCAGAAAAACATTCAGAAACAGCAAAGAACACTTCTCCAAGACGTGTTAACTATTGTGGAAGACATGATTGTTAGAACAAATTCGCAATAAAGTTAATTTCCAAATCCACTGAGTTGCACCTAAGTCATGACTTATTTAAACATGAACTTCTATTTCTGCATGACCCAATATTATCACACACACTTGCTTTTCTTGACGAAGTGCAAACAGCAATGATTGAACTGGCAGGGGGACGCATTGCTCTGTATTTTGTATCCAATGATATTGTTCATGCGATGCTTGCCAATGTGGATGGAGATACAATTGAACCTATGCAATTAAATCTGGCGTATGAGATGGGGAGTGCCCTCCCTCTCTTAATTGACCCGGAATGCATGGAGATTTGTTTTTCATTGGCCATACCGTATGTAACGCCCAAAAACACTTTCCAAATTAAAACAATTTATAATGTCGGTACATGGAAGGAGGATATCCACGTAAAAGTCCAAACCCCTAATGTTTTGGCTTTCCAAACATGTGTACTAGACTGGCATTCAATAACCATTTTCAATGATTGCGAGAAATTAAAAAACAATAATTTCCAATGCGATGGAAAACCTTTTGTGTATGATTCCACCAATGCTTTATGTGGGATCGAGTACATTAAACATGGCTCTGTATCATGTCAAAAACCGACATGATACATTGGACATTGGACATTGGTTTCAATGTCCAAAACCGATATTAATGCTCTGGTACATGCTATCTTAGTAAAGGATAAATAGTTTATTAGCACGTGTCTTAAAAATATGAGTGTTTTTCGCAGGAATCAGGTGACTAATAAAGTAATTGCCTTACCAGCACCTGTCTCACTAATCAAGGTACCCCACAACTCTCGTATCACTATCGGTGGCGTTATGCTATATCCAGTGTACACGGACATCATTGAAAGTGCTATTGAGTTGGTGGATCCCTTCCTGAATCTAGATATCCCGCTAGAT